CAGCATGATAGTTTGTACTGCTCAAGTCATCAAATGATGTCCGTACCTTCTACATTTCAGTTCTGTCACCTCTAGAAACTCCAAGTCTATACATTAACATACAAATGTCTTTAAAGTTAAATTTTTCTTTTAAGTCCAGATTCCCACTTTTTCTTTTAAATCCAGTTTATTTACTTCTTGAAATAATAGCAACCCATCTGTTGTTTCTCATACTTGGGAACTGCCCATTTTATCACATTTGAACATTGCACAGTAGTGTTAAGACCCAGTTATTTGCACCAGCCAGGATGCATTTCATCTACACTCACTTGAAACCCTCCAACTGGATGCCGGTGAATTGTCTCCATAGTGACAAGACAGAGCAGGAAGAATTCAATCTCATTCAGCAGCTCTTTATTAAGCATCTACCTTCTACGTAAGTTTCCTTGGCTTGGCTTTTGTGCTCATTTTAGTACCTGAATGCCAGCTTTATTATTGTTGTTTTCTTTTCTATTTTATCATCATGCAACTTTTGCAAGAGAAAACATCAATGGAGCATCATTGCAAGCTTGAGTTACAAGTACACAGGTGGTCCTAAGGCCCTCACTTCCTGCTCTGGTTCATTTTATCTGCACACGTGAAGTGTTTCATTGTACTGGAGGGATGGCAAACAGCTTAACCAAGCTGCACAGGGAGATTTCCCACAGGCCAAACCCAGAGCAACATGATAGAGACCAGGGAAGTACAGACCACTGGAAGCCCAAGTGGCACAAAGCTTCCATCCCACTGACCATTTGACCATAGGTTTCCAGCCAGTAGCAAATTGACAGATCTGAATTTAACTGCTCACACTCTTTTATTCCTATGTTATTAAATTTTCTTGCTCTTTTTAATGACTCTTTTTTTTTCTCACCTCTGGTGGCTAACTGGCCAAGGATTTGCACTGTCAACACAGAGGCCATTGGTTCAAATCCCCCAAAAGAGAAAGGCAGACACTCTGAGACTTTCATGTGATTTACAGCCTCTGAGAATTTTTCGGAGTGTCAGCTTTGAGTCATTTCTGACATTTTGGCACCGAGTTTGAAGTTTGGTTTTTTGGCATTTTTGTTTTGTCTTGCTAAATTTACAATTCACAGGATGTGTTTCCATTCTTCATATAGAGTTGATTATAGATACAGATCGTTTGGTATTATCCACGTGCTTGAAAAATCTGGATATGTACTAGGACCTCTTCACCATGCTCAGTACATCATTCATTTTGAGGTAAATCATTGGTCATCTTAAAGGACATAAAAACAATACTTTCTAGGCAAGACGTGTTTCTTGCCAGCCTTCGCATCATGTAATATAGCTTTAGGACCCAATCATGAAGGCAGCAACGTATCCACTTGGGTATTTGCTTTCAAAATGTTCTTTAAATTCATTTACACTGTGACAACGAGCAGGTTGCTGCTGTCTGATCCATTCTGAGCATTTCTGGGTCCTCCAGATGGAAGAGATCTTAGTGGGGACATTGCACAGAATCATCAAAGGCCGTGAAAGACCATGCACTTCCTCCCTCTCCTAGGACAAGCTTGACAGTAACATCCCAGAGCAGATGTGCCGACAACCTCCAAATGTTTTCATTCGGTGGCACAAAGACTGTTATTCATGAAATGGTCTGTTAAAGAATTAGTTCCTCCACGCGGAGGTTGTGGGAATATGTGTTATGAAAATTGATTTCACATTTGGTAGGAGACTCATACTTAACTCTTTAGATCTGAGAGCCTGAGGTTTGACTCGATCTGTTTTTGAGGCCGCAGGCGTCACAGAGAATGCTGGAATGCAAGAGCTCAGCACCTTTTCAAAAGGCTTAAAACGGACTGCTCAGAGTATTGTATTCTTTTACAGAAGGAAGCACCACCGGCTCTGCAGGATACAGTGAGAGAATGTGGGCATTCTGGGTTATGAATATTTGCATTATTCTCCTGATACAATTCCACCTCTAAAGCTTGTGCTTGTTGGTTTCAGGCTCCTTATCTAAAAGAGACCTACCATCCTTGGAGTATAGGTTCAGGTACCCTTCAAGAGCTGTCCAGAGCAGAGCTCTGACCCATTAAGTTTTCTTAAACTATAATCTTTGTGGAAGCAGATAATCAAGTCTTTGCCTCACAGCAGGGAGATGAACCATAGGTTCGAATGTCAGCAGTTGTAACATTTGGTAATATTTAGGCTTTTTCTTTATACAGAGACTTAGTGTTATTTATGTTGGCTGTTCTCAGTATAATGTCTTACGAGTGCTCTCAAGTGTCTGTGATCCTGAAGTCTTCCTGTGCAACAAGATGAGAGAGAGGTGGAACTCTAGGAGTTTAGAAGGCGTGCAGCTGAGTATTGACACCATGGCCATGCCAAGGGTGATTGTTCATATGCTAGAATGCATTTGAGAATCCACCGGATGCTCTGCTGGAGAAGGAGGGCCAATCCCCCTGTGCCAGTCAGATCTGATTTAATGGTACACAACAAGGGGGGGAAGTACTAGGATACATTTGAGATTGTTAGTTATAAAAGATTCACAGACACAATAGAAGAAGCAAAGAATGCCTAAATAAAAATACAGACTCAGAGAAAATAAATGGTACTAAAAGGATTCTTGTTGTTGTTGTTGTTATAAATGCCATTGAGTCAAGTCCATCTCATAGTCGTTATGTAAAAAAAAAAACAAACTTTATTATTTGAGTCAAGATATTAACAGTCATGGCAACGATGCCAAAAAGGAATATATTAGGGATCTAAAGCTCTTATTGTTCAATGGGAGAAGCCATTCTATTCTGTCGTTGACTTTCTCCTCACTTCACTGAGAGAGCTCTTCCTCACATATTCATTTAGAGATTTTCACACTGTGTCTGTCATTGTAGTCCGAAAAGAAGGCAGAGATGTTGTAGCCTCCTGGCTAATACAGTCACACCAGCCATCTGCGGCTGTTAAGAATTTGAAATGTGACCCGTCTGAGCTGAGATGTGACACCAGTGGAAAACATATACCAGATTAAAGAGAAAAAGAAATGCAAGTCTCCTTTTTTCAATACTGAGTTTGGATATATTTGTTATTTCCCCATTTGCATGTGTAATAAGCACCTGAGACTCGGCCTCTGTCCACCCCTCCGCACCTTCCTGTCCTGGTTAATGGCAGCTCTGTTCCTTCAGTTGCTGAGACTAAAATTGGGCCCACATTTCTAACACTTCTTCATCACCTCTTCTAGTAAACTCCTCATTTTCCCAAAGCCTAACCACTGATGTGTAGATTATCATTATGTGCCATTGAGTTGGAACCCACTCATACTTGACCTCTCAGGTGATGTGTGGATTGCTGAAGCTGCTGTTCTCAGAGCAGCCGGAGTGATCCTTCCATAACATGGGCCAGGTCACCTCTCCACTCAGACCCTCCAGTGACTCCAATTCCATATAGTCTCCAAGGCCGGACATACCTGTTACCTCTTGACTCTTGTTCCTTTGTTCTCTGCATCCCACTGGCCTCCACCACAGGGTTTTTTCTGAGAACACCCAACTACAGAACACATCACTCCATCACGTGCTTCAAAAGTCACTTTCTTGACAGTCCCTACTCTGTCAACCTTGAGCTCTGCACTCACTTCTCCTAATCTCTCTCTCTCTCTCTCTCTGTGTGTGTGTGTGTGTGTGTGTGTGTGTATACACATACATACATGCATACAAACTTTATATACTGTATTTATTTTCTGACTGCTAAGTTGTAAGCTCTAAGAGGGCAGAGATTTTTATTTGCTCTTTTTCTGGCTGTATTTCTGCACTCAGAACAATGCCTCCACCTGATTTCATTGCCATCAAGTTCCCTGTGACTCACAGCTGACCCTTACTGGGTTTCCTTCCCACCTCACAGGAGGAGATTGCCCATTTCTCTCCATCAGAGTGGCTGATGGATTCAAACTGCTTTTGAGTTAGCAGTACAACTCTTGACAAACTACGCCACCCGGACTCCTGAAAACTATATTGAGAGGGTAAATGAACACATCTTTGTCTGCATGATGTTCCCCAGATGCATACTGAGGCCTGCTTCACAGTGGCTTTTCATTCCTCTTTAAGATTCTCAAGTGTTATGTTGTAAACAGGATTCAGAAAATACTAAGAGACACCATATTCTTGACTGGATTTCATATGATCGTTTCTCCTAAATTGAAAACAAACACTCCTAGAATGCAACAGTAGTAGCATAAGTATTGAAAATGTGTAAAGAACCTATTGGTCCCTAACATTTTCCAAAATATGTTCAAAACCCTCTGCAAGCTTCCCCACCCACAGAATTGCAGATATAGTAGTGTTTTGTTTTGCTCCAAATTTCACTTGCTGTAGGAAAAAGGGAAGGAAGCTCCATGGAGCCCCAGGTGCCGAGTGATTGTCAGACACCCCCTGCCCCCCAGGAGATGCACACTCAAGGCCCAGCTCCTCCCAGGGCCTCAGCAGCATCACAGACACATCAGATCCTGTGGGATCCCCAAAGAGCAGCCCTGTGACAGTCAAGGGCCCACTATATTTTTTCATTCTATTGTCAAAAATAATATCTAAATACAGATATTTTTGAAATCTTTTTCTTCCAAGCTCCTCAAAATGCATTGTCATCTAGTCAGAACTGCCTCATAGCTGACCTTCCAGCAGGTTTTCAAGGGCTGGAAATTACGCAGGCAGAGATTGCCCATTTTTACCCCCCATGGAGCTGCTGGTTATTTCGAACACCCAGAGAGGTGCCTTTGTGTTCACTGCACAACTCCCTGCCCATAATCTACCAGAGCTTCCAAGCTGCTAGGCCTTGGTGTTTTAGATTGCAAATTTGTGTGGGTATTTATTAATTTCAAATAAATAATTAGGTGGTTTAGTTCTCAAAACCAGAACGACTGGCTGTGTTTTAAAAGTGTGACTTGGTTTAGATGCCCCACAGGTCGGGCTTGAGTTGCTCTAACCTCTCCCCCAGAAAGCCATCACAGTCGCTGAGGCCCTGCTCGGTGGTTAACCATGTGTGACCGAAAGGTGGTGATAAAAAATGCAGACATGTCAGAGGAGATGCAACAGGACTCAGTAGAGTGCGCAACCCAGGCGCTGGAGAAATTCAACATAGAGAAGGACATCGCGGCCCACATCAAGAAGGAGTTTGACACGGAGTACAACCCCACCTGGCACTGCATCGTGGGGAGAAACTTCGGTAGTTATGTGACACATGAAACTAAGCACTTCATCTACTTCTACCTGGGCCAAGTCGCCATTCTTCTGTTCAAATCTGGTTAAAGCATGGACTGTGGCCACCCACCCAGTGATCCATCCAAAAACAAGGACTGCAGCCTTCATTCCAAATACCAGAGACTGAAATTTTCAGGCTTGCTAAGAGAACGCCCCCATCTTTGAATCATTGTTGTGTTTTGTACAGGACCTTCCTCTGTACCAGTTTGTCATGGTTATAAAGCAGTTAGCAAATGAGCTTACATTTGTATTTCTTTTCTATCCCATACTTTTCTCTGCGTCATGTTTTTTTCTTTCCTGACAATCCATTCCTTTAAAAAAATAAATCTGTTGGAGATGTGTGTGTTAAAAAAAAATAGTGTGATATAAGC